TTGAATATCCAAAATTAAATAAAAAGAAATTAGGTTTTTTTACATAATACATAACATACATACATAAACACTCACGCCTGTCACCCAGAGGGGTAGGCAGAGACTACGGACTTCCATTTGGCGCGATCCTGACACACCTCTCTCGCCTCTTTTACATCCATATATCTACGCATACACGCTCGTCGGTTAAGGGTACTCCTAATCTGGCTTTTTAAGTTTTTTTTAAGGTTTTTTTAAAGATGAAAATAATGGTAAAATCATGAAAGAATTTGTGGGTTTACGATCCAAAATGTACGCTTTTAACTTAGAGAATAAGACTATAGCCAAGGCAAAAGGGGTAAATAAATGTATCACTAAAAAGATGACAATGAATAGTTATAAGTCTTCTCTATTTAATAAAAAAGTGCAATATTATAGTATGCTTAGATTTAAATCAATTAAACACACAATTTTCACACAAAAATTAAATAAGATAGGTTTATCATATAATGACACAAAGAGACATATTTTAGATAATAATATTGAAACATTAGCTTGGGGTCATTATAAACTGCGTTAAGTGTTGATTTTTACTTTTATGTCTGCGTTTAAGAAAAATTTATATTGATTGTAAAATTATGATAATACTATAATATGACGTAGTTTATTACATATTTAAACATTGTTTTATTGTAAATAATTTAAGTTAATTGTTGTTTCTATTTATTTGAGGTTGAGTTAATTGTAAAATTATGATGTACTAATTGTTGTTTCTATTTATTTGAGGTTGAGTTAATTGTAAAATTATGATGTACTAATTGTGTTAGAAATAGTATACAGATAATTCTGTTTTATATAATTTTTGGAATATATATTAATTGTTTACACCAACACTTTCATTTTTTATTTCACCCCTTTGAACTTTAGACGTGTGTTATGTTTCACTTTATCCATCCGTTCACTGCTATTGTGGCAGGACCAAGTGGGTGTGGGAAGTCAAATTTTGTAACAAATTTCATAAAATCAGTTACAGAAATATGTAATTGTGATTTTAATCAGATCACATGGTGCTTTGATGAAATGCAACCATTATATAATTTACCAAATGTTAACTATCATCAAGGAATTCCAAATCTTAATATGTTTGATGGTGAAAACCCACATCTTGTTATTATTGATGATCTAATGAGAGAGTCCGATGGAAGAATTGTGGATATATTTACAAAAGGTAGTCATCACAGGAATCTTAGTGTATTTTATCTAACACAAAATTTATTTCATCAGGGTAAAGGACAAAGAGACATATCTTTAAACTCAAGTTATATAATATATTTTAAAAACCCTCGAGATAAAACTCAAATAAGATATTTAGCAAGACAAGTATCACCAGATAACCCAAAATTCATTGAAAATGCCTACAGGGATGCAACTCTAGAGGCACATGGATATTTAATGGTAGATTTAAAACAGAATACCAATGATTTTTGTCGTATCAAGACAAATGTCTTTCCATTTAATGGTTTCTGTACAGTCTACGTCCCCACAAAAGAGTTTAAATACACCAAGAATCAAACAATTGAAATCATTGCTAAATGATGCATCGTCGACTCACAACGTATAAACATTTGCTAACCGCTTTGCATACGCTTAAACCAAAATATCAAAGAGCATTACTTAAAACGTGTGATGAAGAAGAAATTAACTGTATTTGTGAGTGTATTCATAACGTTTTACAAGGAAAAGTACCTCTTAAAGATCAGGATAAACAAAAATTGAATAAACATAAAAACATACTCCGTAAACTAGTACGTAAGTGTAAACATAAACTAAGAAAAAATATAATTATACAAAAAGGAGGGGCTTTCTTACCAACAATATTAGGTGCAATATTGAGTGGATTAGTGAGTGGACTAGCCAGTTAACATGGAAAATGCAAAGAAAATGATACTTATCGAACCTGGATTGATTGAAAAATTAAAACAAGAAAATAAGGTTAATAGTAATTTATCTCGATTAGATATTGAAATGCAAAATATTATGAATAGTAAGACGGAAGACCGAAAGAAATGGATATTATATTTACAAACACTGCAAAGATACCTTCATTTTACCGAAGACGATCGTCAACCACTCAAATTACCAATTTATTCTGATACATCTAATGAAGATTCAAATGAGTCAAAAATTGGTTTTAAAAATAAAGATAGAGATCTAAAAACTTCAGTTGATATTGAATCTTTGCTGGAGGAGAATCGATCCATTAAAAGTAAAGAAAATGATGAAAATCCACTTTACACACCAGCTCAAATACTCAGTTTAATACCAAAAACTTATCATAAAAAAGGGCAGTTATTATTAAACTTAGTTGAAACAAGTAAAAGTAAAATACATTGGGATAACGAAGGTACAGTCATAATTGATAGTGAAAAAATTCCTGGAAGTAATATTGTTGATTTAATAAATGATTCACTAAGACCCCTAAAAAGAAGTGATCCGGTAGGGTGGGTTAGATTTGCTGAAGCATTAAAAGATATTAAAGTACCACTTACTTATATTGGAAATCCAAGGAGATGTGAGTTTATTAACCAACTTCAAGCAAAAGATCTGAACAAACCCTCTGAGATTGAAGTTCAAGAGTTTTCTACACCGTGCAGTAGCGATAAAAAGTCTACAACTAAAATACGTAAAGGACTTGAGTGGGAAAAATGGACTCCGTACTAGAAGAAATTAACAGGATTTATTATGATCCATCTAATCCCGCTGGTTTTGGTAGTATTGATAAATTATCAAAAGCCATGAAGGGTAAAATGAATAAAAAGCAAGTAAAGGAATGGTTAAAATCACAAGAAACATACACATTACATAAACCCATTCGAAAAAAATTCCCGCGTAATAGGTACATTCTATCAAATATTAATGAACTGTGGCAAGCTGATTTAAGTGATATGCGAACTTATTCTCAATATAATGATGGTTTCAAGTATATACTTTGTATTATTGATGTATTTAGTAAATATGCTTTTGCAAGACCAATGAAAAAGAAAAACTCAGAAACAACTAAAGAATGTTTTGAAAGTATATTTACTGAAAGTAATTTAACACCTACTCACATACAATCCGATAAAGGTACAGAATTTGTTTCAAAAGATGTACAAAAATACTTTAAATCCAAAAAGATTAATTACTATACCACTAACAATCCTGACATTAAGGCCAGTATTGTTGAACGATTTCAAAGAACACTAAAAATGAAAATGTGGCGTTATTTCACTCATAATAATACTTATAGATATATAGATGTTTTACAAGATTTAATATACTCTTATAATCACAGCTTTCACTCTAGTATTAAGATGTGCCCATGTGATGTAAATTCCAACAATATTATGACAGTTTGGACTAATCTTTATGATAGACGGTCAAAAAAACTTTCTTTAGAAAATCCTAAACCAAATTTCAATGTGGGTGATTATGTTCGAATAACTAAATATAAACATGTATTCCAAAAAGGATATGAATCAAATTGGAGTGATGAAATATTTATTATATCTTCAATAATTGATAGATCTCCATGGGTTGTTTATACAATAACAGATTTACAAAATGAACCAATAATTGGTACTTTTTATGAAAGAGAATTACAGAAAATCACTTACAACCCCACCTCACAACATAAAATAGATAAAATAATTGACACTCGTTATTCAGGTAACAGAAAAGAAGTATTAGTGAAGTGGAAAGGTTATCCAGATAAATTTAACAGTTGGATTTTATTTTCTAGTTTAAAAGAAATATGAATAAAGAAAGTTTCTATTTAACTTTGCTCAGCAATAGTTCAATGGAATACTTTCCTGATAACAAGACCACAAATTTTTCAACGAAATTACCAAAAGCTATAAAATTAGAAGGTGAATGGTCGGTTGGAGTTGTCGAGTTTCAATATCCATGTACCATGTTTACTGTTCAAGACCATGAAAATGTTATATACATTACAAAATCTATGTTAATGCCTAATGAAGATAAGCCATCCACAGTGTACTACAAAAAACATATTCCAGCTACCAACTATGATAACGTTGAGCATATTTTAAGAGTGTTAAATGGTATCGGAGAGAACTTGAAATTTCGCTATGATGAAATAACAAAATTTGTGTCTATTTCGGTATTGGATAAAAATATAACATCCGTAACATTATCACCCAAATTAAGTTTACAGCTAGGTTATGAACCAAATAAAAATCTCCTAAAGAGAAATTTTGGAAAGTGTCCTGCTAATTTACACTTAGGGTTACCATCTCAACTATTTCTATATTGCGATATTATCGATCCTCAGATTGTGGGTGATGTTATGACTCCTTTATTAAGAGTCATTTCATTAGATCCTACAAAATACATTTATGGTGCAAATAAAATGCACGTTTTCTCTCAACCTCACTACTTACCTGTTATGCGAAGAGAGTTCGATACGTTGGAAATAGTTATAAGATCGAGTACAGGACAAAAAATACCATTCCAGTTTGGAACCGTGTGTATTAAACTACATTTCCGAAAATTATAATAATGAATTCTCTTCGTGATCATCATAAATGTCCATATGAAAATTATTATACACATCAAGCTGGATCAGGAGTTGGAGTAATTTATAAGGGTTCACCATATCAACGCGGTCATGGTATTGGGAGCTTCTTAGGGGGGTTATTCAGATCAGTTTTACCTTTACTTTCAAGTGGTGCTCGAGTGATTGGTAAGGAGGCATTAAGCGCTGGAGTAGGACTTTTATCGGATATGGTTCAAGCCCGTCCTATGGAAGCCTCAATAAAAGATCGTCTAAAGCAAGTTAGTACGAATTTAAAACGAAAGGCTGATGAGAAAATTGATCAATTTAACATGACTGGATCTGGGTATAAAACTAAAAGAAAACGATTGACATCGTTCATTCCACCATTAACTGCTAAAGTGAAAGCTGCGAAAAAACTTAGTCTAAAACCAAAAAATATCAAAGATATATTTTCAAACTAAATATGTCTTTCCTTCATAATCATTCTTGCGAGTGCGTTAAGTCAGAATTGGATTTGTTTGCACTACCGTCTACACAAATTAGCATTGAAAATGGATTGTGGATTCATTATAAACCAATTTCATCTCTTGGTGATGATGGACCTATCGAGTTTCAAGTTCCTGGGACCGGCGATGACTACATAGATTTGTCTCATACATTACTCCACATAAAGGCAAAAGTATTAAATCAAGATTCAACTAACTTGGTATCTACTACAATAGTAGCACCTGTAAATAATTGGCTGCATTCACTTTTTAGTCAACTTGATGTTTATTTAAACCAAAAACTTGTATCACCACCTAATAATACCTATGCATATCGAGCATACATGGAAACCCTTTTAAACTATGCCCCTGCTGCTAAACAATCTCATCTTACTTGTAGTCTTTGGTATGAGGATACAGCAGGAAAAATGGATTCTACAGATGGTAAAAACATAGGATTTGTTAAAAGACAGGAATTGATTAGTGAAAGTAAGGAAATAGAAATGATTGGTCATCTTCACGGTGACATTTTTAACCAAGATAAATTTTTAATTAATGGTGTTGAAATGAGTGTTAAATTGGTTCGATCAAGAGAGAGTTTTAATTTAATTGTTGGGTCGAACGATGTAAAGTTTAAAGTTTGCATTACGGACGCAACTCTTATTGTGCGACGAGCACGAATTAATCCAAGTGTATTACTCGCACATCAAAAAGTTTTAGCTTCTACCACTGCTAAATATCCTATTACTCGAGCTGAAGTAAAAGTTTTAACAATTCCTTCAGGTGTTCAAGGAAAAACTCTTGATAATATATTTTTAGGACAGGTACCGAAAAGATGTATAATTGGATTTGTGAACAATTCTGCATTTAATGGTTCCCTTACTAAAAATCCATTTAACTTTGAAAACTATGGTATTAATTCTTTCAGCTTATATATTGATGGTCAACAAATACCTTCAAAAGCTTTGCAACCATCTTTTAATAATAGCATATTTACATCAGCATATCATACTCTATTCTCGGGAACTGGTATTCACTTTCTTAATGAAGGAAATGGAATCTCTTGTGAACAGTATGGCAAAGGTTACTGTCTATTAGCATTTGACTTAACTCCTGATTTATCAGCTAACTCATCAACTCATTGGAATCTCATAAAGCATGGTAGTGTAAGAATAGAAGTACGATTTGAATCCTCATTAATACAAACAATTAACTGTATAGTTTATGCTGAGTTTGATAATATTATTGAGATAGATAAAAACAGAAATGTTACTGTAGACTATAGTAGTTAAGGTTATAATATGTGTTGTGTGTTAGATTTTATGTGTTATGTGTAATGCATTTTGTGTGTATGTAACTATGTGAAACGTTATAAAATTAAATAAAACAAATTGTATGCAATATATTTTTTTTATTTCTTTATAAATCTTCTATTTAATCTAATACAAAACACTGTTCGAGTTGAAATTTTACATAAGCACACTGACTAAACCACTGAACATGCTGCTGCCAAGGATCATCATCATCTTTCCAATCTTTTAAACCACCACCACAATGGAAACACTTGGTCCCGTCTGCATGGCCAGTATAAAAGAAACCAGCTTCGGCAAGATCTTCAGGTTTCTGTCGCATAACTAGAGGCCAGTTTTCGAAACTAAGCAAACGGCTAGATTTTGAACTTAAGAATGGATATTCAGCTCTTGAGTACTGCATACTCTTCTCGTTTTCTTCTCCACTCAGTGTTGTAGTTTTGTTATTCAATGATGTGTTTTGTACACGTATGCCACACTCATCTCTTCCTTCCGCTCTTGTCTTCCTGTAATTGAAGTAAACAGAATCACATTCACTAATGATCAGCTAATGACTGTCATTGTTAAAAAAGTATTTTTTAACTTTTTCACTTTCTGCTATTGTCTTTGTTATATTGTATACGAGGGCGTTTGTATTGTCGTAGATGCTATCCTTATTAGTCTTTACGTAATATTTAATTCTCGTGGAAGCATGTTTCCAATGATCAGTAGTTGGAATCTTGGATAGCTTCTTCATATCGTACATTTCAATTTTGATGAGATGCGTCGCTTGGTCTCCGTCGTCAGAATTAGTAGAAATGTATGATACACCATCTCTAGCGGCTCGTGCTACGGTTGATGATAACAGCTTCCTCTTTTTTATTTTTGATTCAGCTTCAAAAAAATGATCAATCGATTGCGATTTTCTTTTTCCACCATCGCATGTGTTATTATTAATGACGAGGTTATCACTCTCTTCTTGAGGGGAGAGTGGCGAGTAGTAATACTGTTTATAGGTATCTTCATCGAAGCTCAATGATTTCTACAACAACACAGTTATCATGTTAATATCAATTTGTTAACACTTAATCATAAAAGTTAAAAAAGTTAAAGTTACAGCCTATTAAAGTCCACTGCTGAACATAGGCCTCCTCTCATTTCTGAGAGGGTTTTAGAGCAAGGAAATGTCCGCCGCGCTCCCTCAATGTGTGTTGGCGAACTTCACATGCCTTCGAAATTTTCTCAGACATGCAGGTTTCCTCACGATGTTTTCCTTCACCACCAAGCACGTGGTAATAAGCACTTAAAATTGCTATTAACAATTTAATTGGTGCTGGCGGGGATCGAACCCGGGTCGCGTACTGTGAAATTTACAGCTAGCGCTAACCATCTGAGTTACCACGGCTTAATCATATACATACACAATATTTAAATAAAATAATACACACACATGAAAATAACAGAAAAAAAGTAATTTAGTCAATAGAATAAACACTTACATCCATAGCCTTTGGTGTATTGAAGTAACACAAATGTACTATTGATAGATCCACTGTAGCCAAACGACCGTACACTAACTCGATGACTGCGTTTGTTGGTCTTATATACCACCAGTACGTAAAAATTCTAATCTAAAGTATTTCCGTAATGAGTTGATAATTACTTTATGCGTCAACCAGTTTATCTCACATTTCCGTTGCCTATCTCAACATTTCTTCGTATTGTGTTTTGTTTGGTGATCAATGACTCAAGTACGATTTGTATAACACAAAAATGCAATTTAATATTTAGAAACATATCAGTTTATCTCACATTTCCGTTGCCTATCTCAACATTTCTTCGTATTGTGTTTTGTTTGGTGATCAATGACTCAAGTACGATTTGTATATCACAAAAATGCAATTTAATATGTAGAAATCACTATAATTGACCATTCCTATGTTATTCATTGAGTAGCTAGGTACTGTAATAATCTACTAATAGCAGTAATATCATGGATACACTAGATGTACAACAACATCTGAAAAAGATTCACCCCAGTCTAGAAAATAATGTTTATGCAGCTAATAGACTGCCTATGTATACCCACGTACCAACGTATATAATATGTAATTTGGATACAGATGATAAACCAGGGTCACATTGGGTAGCTTTATATATCGATACGAATGACGTCGGTCAATATTTTGATTCATATGGACGATCACCTGTACGATATCATCTAGAGTTTTTAAAAAGGAATTGTAAAAGATGGAACTGGAATGTTGATAGGATTCAGAATGAGTGGACTTCAGTTTGTGGCGAATATTGCTTAATGTATTTACTATATAAGTTTCAAGGATGTTCAATACATAGTTTTACGAGTATATTTACAAGGAACACATTGTACAACGATATTTTAGTGGATGAGATGTTTCGCTCCTATTTTATAGATAATAATTAATAAGATTTTGTATTTTATAAATAAAAATTGTAACAAAATTATGTAATGTGTTTTATTGATGATTCAGATTAGCGTTGTATAATTAGGAACAAAGAACTATAACACAATAGCACTGATATAGTCGACGCACACGCTGCAATGAAGGTGATTAATGAACAATAGAACAATAGAAATAGGAACAATGGGACGCTAATGACGGTGGAGGCCCTTACCGGATATCAATTAGATATTAGCTAATTGATGTACACATCTCTGGAACCGTGCATTCTACACAAAAATGGACCGCGGATTCGTGATCAGAGCATACCAAAACTTTTTTTTTTTTTTTTTTTTTTTTTAGGATCGGGCGTCGACGAACGTCGTTGAACCACGTCTGACTCAGGTGGTCTAGAAGTGGTACAACTACACTACTCACGCTTTCACAGAATACCAGCGTAAAATAGCAGCTTAATACTGCTGTGTTTCGTGTGGTGAGTGAAGAGAACCGGAGACCCTTTTTACAAGTTATCGAGACATCCTATCTTAGGGGTGATAACGAATTTATTTTATTTATTTTAACAGATACAACATTGGCTTATCACTAGACATTGTTAAATACAACACAATCGGTTTTGTTCAAAATGATTTGCCTTTAAAGGTATATACAACATTCGCAAAAATAGTGCAGGTACAATAAGACAATTGTTAACTTACTTAACTAGACCAATATTATAATTAAATTTACAAGTAATTTGCTTACAATAAAACTAATGGTTAACTTGACTTGACTTGACTTAACTTTGTACGTGGTAGAGCCATGCTGCAACTATATTAATAGTATAGTTGTAGCACGAATGGGTCGGCTCGACCGGGGAAGAACCACGCTCTCACAGAAAACCAGCGTAAAATAGCAGCTCAATGCTGCTGTGTTTCGTATGGTGAGTGTAGAGAACCGGAGACCCTTTTTACTGGGAAAGAGGCATTTCATCTTAGTCCTCACGGGTGACAACGCATCTGCATTTTGATTCGCAACGAGGATAGATGTAGATGTCCATGGGCCGCAGCAACCACTTGCTTATCCTATAAATAAAATGCTACGAAAATCGCTCACAACGTACGTGGTACGTCAGCATACATATAATACAGAATTTAGCGGTTAAATTATGTAAGAATCTATATCGAATAAAAAATATTCTATTCAATTCTATTATCGTCGGTTATCCGTCCTCTAGCGCTCGAGTATATTTCCATGTGCATTACGCCGTATCAAACCGCTCCTCTTCGAAATCACAACACTCCATTGTTATAATAATAAACATGTCTAAGAGCGCTTGTACACTGTATGGTAATTTTAATGTCCGGAATGTGATGCCAATGGCTCAGCCCATTAGCATCAAAAATACGGATGTAATAATAATAATAATAATAATAATCTTTATTTGCAAGAATATGGTTGTACAATGGTGTTTGAGTATAATTCGTTCTACATATTCTACCTTAGTGGTGTGCAAATATTAATGGTCAAGTAACCTAAACAACAACACTTATCGAATTTAACAACATATATTAATTTAACAAAATATAAAATTATTTAATATTATTTAGTTGATTTGATAATTAATTTATTATGCCACAGTGTCAGAAAATGCCATCAAATATATAAGTAAGTATTATTATGTCAAGTAAGATTATTATTATAGGTCAATGTCATATATTAATTATTATTCTTATGTCAATAATTAAATAATGTTACATATCCAATTGTCATTAATTTCTTTCTATTTTTACATCAAATTTATTAATTAATTAAATACATAAGTCAAATTTTATATTAAATAATATCAAAAACATTATTTTTTTTAAACATTGGAATCTTGTAATTATGTAATTAATCATATTCTAAAATTATCATTCATTATTACTCGTATGTAAGTCGTTATCGTTTAAGAACTCTTCTACGGAATAATAACATTTAGTGAGCAACAATGCCAAAACAGATTTCTTAAATGACAATAAACTTAGTGATTTCTTATATTTACGCGAACACTACACATTTAAATGAAACTAATTTTACGGATTTTATCGCGTATATTAACTTATTTTACATTCCCGACGTTTCAAGCACTTTACAGCACCCATGGTCACGGGGGGGACTGAGGTGTATGACGTCCCAATGTCATAGTTAACCACGGCTACCTCCAGATTAAAAATTATTAATTTTTGTTCCGATCTACGCAGTATGAACTTACAGTATCATGAAGTCTTGCAGTTGTATGCTTGGGTTGGGATTTAATTTTATTAATTATGGGATCCCAAGCAGATGGTAGCACCCAGCCATCTTCTCTATTGAAATTAGGATGTTTTTTGATTTCAATAGCCTCGCGAATCATCCTTGGAAGGAATCGGTGTTCTTTAGCGAGGATTTGTGGTCTATCAAATCTAATGTAGTGACGGGGGCGATCCTGTACATGTTCACAGACTGCAGACTTCCCGGAGCGTCTATTCTTCACATCAGCTATGTGTTCTTTAACGCGGGTTTTTATGGATCTTTTAGTTTGTCCTATATAAGAGAGACCACATT